AGAGATGGTGACTCCACCATCTCCCTGGGCAGCCCGTTCCCACTCTGACAGTGAGGAAATCCTTCCTAATACCCAATCAAAACCTCCCCTGGCAGGAGATGTTCTCCATGGCTGCTGAGGAGAGGAGACACTGGGGGGTTGCAGCAAGAGGGGGTCATGTTAGCCATTGAGGAAGCATTTGATGGTGGCAAGCTGGGGAGAAGATCCATGGTCCTTTCCAGCCCTATTGCTCCAAGTGTCCCTGAACCTGCAGCTGTGGAGCTTGGGGATCTCCTTCCACCAGACACTGACCAGCTATATTTTTGGGGAAGGGGGTACAGCCCTGTTGTGTAAAATGGGTTTAATGCTTCAGTTGTGTCCCTGGGATCAAGTTCTGGGGTTTCTGGGGGACAGATTTCTTCAGATCTGTCCCCCTCTCTCTTCCCATGGTGAGGCCAGGGCGGTTTCCTTAAGAAGAAGGGGGGCACATGGCAACCCCCACGTTTGGTGACTCGCTGGTGAATCTGCAGGGGCTGATCTGAGTCACCAGGAAATGCTCAGGGCATGGTCACTGCTGTGGGCTGGAGAAATCCCAGATCCAGACTCCAGCACAGCACGGGAAGGACGAGTTTGTCCAGGGCTGTGATGTTGCTGCTCATCAAAAAGGAATCAGAAAAACCCAGGCAGCATCCAACCGTTGCTCTCCCCAGAGCTTCCACCCTTCCCTTGGGACTGTGACTTGAAATACACACAGCTTCCCGTGGGACACAGGGCTGGAGATAAACAAGAAGTCACAGCAGCAGGACAAGCTCGTGCCCTGGCCAGTTGTAAGGACTACAGAGCAAATTCCCACCCAGGAGCCCCTCTGCTCTCCTCCCCAGCAGCCCTGGGACCTGCATGGACTGATCTTCATGACAGCAGCACCACCAGCCACCAGCCTCTCCTGCTGACCTCTTGCCCAATACAGAAGGATATGATCACAAATGGGCAGCCCAGCAGCCAAACTCCTCCCTCTGCTCCCACATCACACCCCAGAGACCCAAAGTGCCAGCCAGCCAGAGGAGGAACAAGTCCCTGCACTCACCCACCACAGGGGACATGGAGAAGGGAGCAGCCAGGAGAGGAGCCAAGCCAGGGGAGATGGGAGCAGCCAGGCCAGGAGCCCAGGGATAGAGCAGGGGCTCAGAGACAGCTCCATGTGCTGGCCCTGGACATGAGAAGGACATGAGAAAGATGCCCAGCAAGAAGTCACATAGATCCAATGGAGAAGAAATACTGGTACAGGGACCTGCATGTGACTTTGGGTGGCTGGCATGGCCTGGAGGGAACAGCTCTGCCCAGGGACAGTTCTGTCTTCAGTGAGGGTTTACTTTTTTTGCATTAGGTTTGATCATGAAGGGTTCTCCATGGTGGTGAATCAACCACTGGACTCCTGGGAGGCTGTGAGAGCATCCTGAGAACATCTCAGGGATCAGACCTGCTCTGAGGGATGGCAGAGTGGGGCAGTGAGTGGTTTCAGCCTCTCCTATTCATCAGGACACGCTCTCTGTGCTCCCAGTGATGAGGTTTTCTGCTTATTTGGTGTTACTGGAGAGGAACGAAGCCACAGCCCTGCAGCTGGGATGCCACCACCCTGACAGATCACAACCTCAACGCTAGCAGGAGCCTTGGAGCTCAGCAGCTTGGTTTTAACATCCCCCCAGATTCCTGGACCTGCACAAAAACCATCCCAAAACCAAGCCAAGCTCCAAAAGCTCCCCATCAAGCAGGGAAAAACTTCTTGCTATGGTCCTGGCCCTGTCCCCACTGAACCCAGATCTTCTACTAAGCTCCTCGAGCAAGTGTCTGAAACCTGCCAATTCCCCAGGTGAGGCTGGAAGCCCCAAAACTGCTCCAGGATGAGCTCAGCCATAGTCCTGGACCAGGAGGGTCTTCTCAGGGGAGGTGGAAGGCTGTAAAATTACCAGAGGGTTGATATTACATTTATCTGTCTCTCTCTGGCTAGACTCACACGCCCGTGTCCAGATGTTCATGTGTGTCCACACCACACACACCCTGCACACGGCTCTGCCACCTGCCACTCTTTATAAGGGTTTGATTAAACAGGAAAACAAATTTCCCCACACCCATCTCCCGACCTCTACGAAAACCCAGCAAAAGAAGAACTGGAAACCCGTTACGATTCTGTTTTTCCTGGTTGCATAAAGGCACTTTCTGATGATGTGAAGCAGCAGTTTGTCCAAACCACCGTCGTGGTGCCCGTCACACCTGGAGCAGGAGCTCCACAGGTGCCAGGATGACACGAGGTGACCGCTGGCTCCTGCTCTGAAGTGTTTGCTGGGGTCTCTTTGCTTGGCATGAAAGGTGAGAACCTCCAGCGCTGCCCCGGGGTTTATTTTGGTCTCCCCGTGTGAGTCGGTCGCCGTGTTTCTGCCCCAGCTCCTGAGGTGAGTGGCTCTCAGCACGGAGGGATGCCTGCTGGAGCATCTGCCCATCCAGGCAGAACATCAGTTGGAAGCCTGTCGTGGAGGTGCATGCTATGGGTCAGTCGTTTCCTCATCAAGGGATCAGGAATTAATTTGGATTAGGGATGTTTAGTAATGAAACACGCCGCTTGCCCCACAGCACTCTTGCCTCACCGTGCAGGGGGGGAGCAGCTCGCTGGTGCCCTGACTTCTCTCCTGAGCCACCAGCAGCTCCACTTCCCATCCCAGCGTGTTGTCCAGTCTCTGCTGGGGGCTCCAGTGGTGAGCGAAGGGGCGGGAGATGCTGGGGGTTTGCTGGTGCTCATTGGAGGTTCCCCACTGGAGAGCGCGTTGGAAGCAGGGATGAAATGTCTCTTGTTAACGCCCTGGAAGACAGCACGAAGTCAGCCTGGATCTCCTTTTTATCTCCTGACTTCCACATAAAAATTGCTCCTGTGCCCTGTGAAGTGAACGCAAGACGAGACCCAAACCCAGAAACAAACCAAAACAACCCTCCCCCCCCAACCTCACGTTGCCCCTCTCTCCTTTTAGACAGAGCTAGATCCACACAGACGTCTTCCCATCTTTACTGCTCGAGCTTCCTTTCTCCAAGGAGGCCTTGGGTTTAGCACCCTGTTTCTCCTGGGCGGTGTTGGCCCTGTTCTGCTCCACCACCGTGCCACCCGAGGCGGGGCTGCTGGTCCGAGAAGGTTGCGTGTTGCCCTGGGTGCTGCTGTAGCTCTGAAATGCTATGTCCAGCTGCTCCTGGGCCACCCGCAGGTGTTTGTGGAGGGTGGACAGGTCTGCAGGGAGGTTCTCGTCGGGGCTGGTGCACTGCTGCTCCTGCGCCACGTTCGCCAGGTTCTGCTCGTGAGCCATCAGGCTGTTGGGGATCTTGGTGGACTTCTCTGATTTCACTACCAGGTTGTACTCGGGAGGGCAGGAGATGTTCTTGGGGTAGGCGTAGTTGTAGGGGGGCTGCCTGAAGCTGTTGATTTTCCGGTTGCGGATGGCGTCTCGGATGGTCCCAAACCCCAGGTGGAACATCTCACACATGTTCAGCAGTAAGCAGAGGCAGCTCACGACGTACATCACCAGGAGGAAGATGGTCTTCTCCGTCGGCCGGGACACGAAGCAGTCCACAGTGTGAGGGCAAGGGACTCTGTTGCAGACGTAATAGGCTTCTACCTCAAAACCGTAGAGCAGATACTGCCCTATCAAAAAGCAGACTTCGAAGGAAGCTCTGGTGAGGAGCTGGAAGACGTAGATCTTCATCAGTCCTTCTTGCTGGATGCGCCTCCTCCCGTCGTGCTTCTGGGGCTCTTTGCTCTTGGGCTTGGCTTTGGCCTTCTCGCCTTCCGCCGCGTCGTCCGAGATCATGGGCTCCTCCTCGTCGGCCTCCATCGGGTCCTCCACGCTGCGCACCGCCTGCCAGTTCAGAGCAAACTGCTTCTTCTTCTTGAACCCCTTGAACTTCTTCTCCTCCTCCGCCGAGCGGGCGATCCTGTGGATGGCGTAGCCCAGGTACATGACGGAAGGGGTGGAGATCATGATGATCTGGAAGACCCAGAACCTGACGTGGGAGAGCGGGGCGAAGGCGTCGTAGCAGACGTTGTCGCAGCCGGGCTGCTTGGTGTTGCAGGTGAACTTGCTCTGCTCATCAGAGTAGATGGACTCGCCCCCCACCGCCGTCAAGACGATGCGGAAGACGATGAGCACGGTGAGCCAGACCTTCCCCACGAAGGTGGAGTGGTTGTGGATCTCTTCTAGCAGGCGGGTGAGAAAGCTCCAGCTCATGTTGGTCATAAGGGCTACTCAGTTATGACCTGCGGGAAGAGGAGGGGAGGGGGAGAAGAACACAAAGCTGTGAATTGACATCTGGGGCTGCAGCTGTGACATTGGCTCAAAGATGAGGTCGTTTGATCTCCAAAAGTCACCCTTCCCTGCTGCAGCCCTTGTCCCTCAGACCTCCCCGCGACGTGAGGGCTCAGTGTGGGGGAAGGAGCCGCGGCCAACGTGGTGGTCACGATACCTGGTGGCATTAGATGAACAGGATGAGCAATGCAACAGGCCACACCACCTACTAGAGTCACCATTTCCCACTCTGTTGCCCGTTTCAAGGCGTTGCCCAGCTGTGAGAAAGGTTTGGGTGACTGTAAAAACCAGTGCAAGGCACCGTGGAAGCCACCGAGGTGACAGACTTGTGGTAACCCCTTGCTTGCCCACCACGGGCTCAAGCACCCGAGCTCAAATCAGGAGCAGAAGATGCTGTTCCAACCTCTTTTTTTACCCAACCCAGAAAAATGCAAAGAATTGGCAAAAGAATGGGAATATTTTTGTTTACAGCCCGATGGCCCTTTTAAGTTCCTTTGGAAGAACCGAACCAAAACAAATGTTTAATCAAATGCAGACTGCTTTCAAAATAAACCCCAAAGAGCTTTCAGAGGAAACCATTTGTTAGAAGACCTGGACAGCTGGGGAGGAAGAACTTGTGATAACCATTTTGTGCTTAGGTTAACTTGCCACAGGGCCTCAGCCCCAGCTCCTTGGGTGACCCCAGGCACCAGTGAAGGCAGGAGGCAATTTTACTGCTTGTCTGGCAGATACCTGGAGAAGAGAACGCTGGGGAAAGCACCTAGACCCAAAGAGCACCGTGGTGGGGCTTCTACCCCAGGGCAGCAGAGCATGGGCTCATCCTTTCTGCTCCCCTGTGTCCCTCCTCGGGGTTGATATGGGGTTTACTCACCTCGTTTCCACGCAGACACCTGATGGCAAGCAGTAAATGAGGCACCTACAAGCCCAATCCCACCCAAGAGCTGACACCCACCACACCGCCCAGAAGCAAAGAGTGGAGTGATGGTGGAGGATGTAGAAGCCAAGCACATAGAATCATAGAATCCTTTAGGTTGGAAGGGACCTCCAAGATCATCAAGTCCAACCATTGAGCCATTAGGGCTCTGAAGTCCTCTGCTAAAACAGATCAGAACCTGTCAGGGTTGGAAGGGACCCCAAGGATCCCCCAGTTCCAACCCCTCTGCCATGAGCAGGGACACCTCCCACTAGATCAGGCTGCCCAGAGCCTCCTCCAGCCTGGCCTTAAAGACCCCCAGGGACACGAGCAAATTGGTGGGGGGAAGAACATGGCAATGGTGTGTTATGGCTCAGCAGTAGCTGGCCCAGCACACTCTGTGGTCCTCCACGACCAAGCAGAGGAAGAGAAAGGAGCTGTTGTCCATATGTTGAAAGAGCATGGACATCAAACCTACCCCTCCATGCCGAGTGGAGGTAAATATCCAGGAGAAAAAATGATGCCATGAGACCCAACTTGGTCCTAACCTGGCTTAGCACCACTTTTATATGGAGACACACCATGACCCTGAGGTTTCCACGGCACAAGCTGAACTTTGAGCCCATAACCCGTGCCAGGAGCAGCCACCAACACCAGCCACGGGCACAGCCTGACGTGGGAGCAAGAAGGGAACGTGCCTTGCTCTGCTCTCCACGTCCAGCTTTTTTGGAATGTGATTTTGCTCACGCTGCCTCTTAGGACGGGAGCCAAACCACGCTGCTTCGCTCAGCCCTCACCCTGGGGCTGCCCCAGGAGGTAGCAGCTCGCTCCAAGGCTCGAGAGGCAGAGGAATTCTTCTGTTGTCGAGGGCTCTCGAGAGCAGGCAGATGGAATTTTCTAACCCTGCTATTTCTAGATCAAACAAATCCCCTGCGAACCCAAACCCCCAAGACTTCACACGCCGGACCCGGACTGTGGGAGCACTCTGCAGATGGTGGTGGTGGTGTTGTCCTGCAGCTGGAGAAACTGAGGCAGGGAGCAGAGGAAACAGCTCGCTCCTGGCTGGGTAATAAGCCAGAAGAAGAGGTGAGGAAGTTCTCTCTGCCCTGGAGTTACGTGGTGAAGAACAACAGCCCTCAGAGCTGCTGCCACCAAAATCCCCATCTCCTGCCCCAAAAGTGATGCCTTGGACCCCATGGTCAGTTGAGAAACGCTGCTGCAGATAGGACAATTCAACCACTGCAGAAGAACGTGGAAAGCAATCCCCACAGAGACAGCCTTTGAGAAAATTTGGGTTATTCAGGGGTGAGCTGGGCCAGCATCCCCTCCGAGTGCCTTTTTGCCCCTTTAGACTCCACGGACACGTTTCAAAGCGTCTTTAACCTTTCCTCTGGTTTGTGTCCCCGTTCAGATGTGGGCAAAATGGGGCGTTACGTGGTTTGCAGGATTCATCTGGGCACCCAGCCAAGCTCCAGCTGACGGGGGGCTGGGAAGGGAAGACCCTGCTGGGTGGGGCGACGACCCGCTGAGGGACACGGTGCATCTGTCCCTGGAGCATCCTGGTCCAGCTGAGGTGGGGCTGGGGCTTGGACTGAGCACACATCACCCCCAGCTTGGCTGGGGCCCATGAGGGCGTTCAGCCACCTATCCGCTCCCTTCTGCACCCCCAATTAGCTGCAAAACCCAAATTCTTCTAAAACGCGGGCCTCAAATGTCCTGTAGAGCAGTTCATTTGTAATTTAGGTGTTCCCCTAAAGGTTTTATGAGGTCTGCACCAAGGATAATTCACCATTTTGCCAACGTTACTCAAGGACACAATTTCTGAAGTTGACTCAACTCCCAACAGCCGTTTGCTGGGTCAGGGAGGGGCTGACCAAGGTAGTGATGACTTTTGGAATAAATATTCAAGTTTTCATCGGATTATTAGTCAGATGGTCAGCAAAGCACCCACGGTCTCCTCTGGGAGACACGTTTCAGAAAGGAGCACCTGGCAGCGTTGGCTCAGAACACTCACAAACCTCCCCAATCAAGGAAGGGGAAAGAAATCTCTAAAGAACAGAAGTGGCGAGTTGTTGCTTTGAGAAGACCACCTGTAGCCACCAGCCACGAGCCCGAGCCGTTGCTCCTGCCATTGACAGGGCAGCTCAGCCCTCTGTGCACATCTGGATCTGCAGGAACATCTGCAGGAAACAGCCTCCAGCTGTTTCAGCCCCCCTGGGACCTTGCTGTTGCCTCTGTGCACGATCACACCTTGACGTGACCCTCCTGTGGGTCCCGCTTGCCTGGCACTGGATTTGAAAGCAGGAGCTGAAGGAAAGGAGTTAAAAATCCCTCCTACAATCATCTCAGTTAAAATTCCCAGTGCTTTGTGCCACTCACTGACTGGAAAGATTGTGCTACGAGCTCTCAATGCCTTTAACTGCTCGGGGAGGGAGGATGGAGGGGGGGTAGAACAGCATTTTATGTTGGAATCAATCATAACGCAGCCAAGCTTCCAAGGAAGGATTTGTTCCCATCACTTTTGCTACAAATCTCAGGAAAAGTCTCTTATTTGCTCACAACGCCAACTATCAAAGTGCAGGAAATGGGGTTTTGCATCTTTCCTCTGCTTCAGCTCTAATTCCTCCACGAGTTACACAGTCCAGCTCCCCAGGGGGAGAAAAAACCCAAACCCACCCGTGTGATTCTGCTGCAGGTAGCTGGGTTAGATCAAGGTAGCTAAATTATCTGCTGGAGAGATGGCGTGAGAGGACCCACCATCCCTCTGGCTTTGAAACCTCCATCTACACAGACTCCAGACCAGCTGACACACAACCTACGAGTTGCACGCGGGTACAAGCTGTGCTGGAAGCAGCCCCCAAGGGGGAGTTGGACCATCCAACCCCCCAGCAGCACTTAGAGCAGTGAAAACTGCCTGCAGCCAGCTGCAGGGACGAGCTGTTGGCTCCACACGCTCATGGAATCCTTTGGGTTGGAAGAGACCTTTCAGATCATCGTGTCCAACTGTTAACCCGGCGCTGCCAAGTCCACCACTGCCCCGTGTCCCTCAGCACAGCTTGGAAACCCCTCCAGGGGTGGGGACGCCACCACTTGCCCTGGGCAGCCCAAAACCCACAGACCCCTCCGTGCAATCACAGACGCAACAGTTGGAACTGGGAAAACTTTAAAAAATGAGTCTAAAATATGCAGAAGAAGGGGGAAAAGTAAAAAAACCCAACCCAAACCAACCCAAAGAGCCCAACCCATCTGTGCTGGCTGGACGTCCTTCCTTTCTGCACCCTTCTCACACCGTTGCTCGAGCTGGAGGGAAAACAATGGGGGGGGAAACAAAAACCCTACTTACAGAGACATGGTGCTTCTGGCGGCGGCGTCCCCTCCTCTGCAGACATTCCTGTGCCTCCAACCCTCCTCCTGGCCCTAGATAAACTCCCGCTGCCTCGCTCCGGCCATGCCCCAGCCGTTGGAAACTGGAGCTGAGGGGAAGTATCTGACGTGGTGGTGTCAAACCCCGCCCCTGCCCCGGCCAAGCACCCACCACCCAGAGCTCCTGCACCCCTAAACGCCGCTCCCACCGAAGCTCCCGGCGCCTTTTTTCCCCCCTCTCCGAGCCTTGGGAGGAAGAGGGAAGGTGCTAGATGTAAATACAGAGCCAGGAAGGAAGAGGGCATGGGTTTGAAATCCAAACAAGACGCCGGGGCTGGTTTTAGGAACGCTGCCTGGAATTTTTGCTGCCGAGGTCTTGAGTCAGTTGGAAGTAAATTAACAGCATCAGCTAGTGGCACTGGTGAGAGGTTTGTAAGACAGAGAGCATGACTAATAGGGAACATGTGGAAAACACATTTTGGCTGAAGTTCCGTGGTTGCTGGGGGAAAAAAAACAATAAATGAATAAAAAAAGAGGCAAGGCTCACTGCTGAGGAGAAAAACCTCTCTGAAGCTCCTGCCTTGCTGCACCTCCGGGTGAGGCTTTCCCTGGAAGTGGTGAGCTGCTCCTCAAGCTGCTGGGTAGGGGCAGAGAGCAGATGTGGGATGA